CATGAGCACGCGCCTGATAAGTGTAAGTTTGAATAATGTGTGGTGAATGTTAGTTTTAACCATGAGCACATGCCCGGCAAGTGTAACTTTTAATCGTCTGCCTGTGGCTAGTGCGTGTAAGCTTAAACCGTGAGTTTATCTCTGCTGAGTGCAAGCATTAACTCTTAGCACGTGTCTGATAAATAAGCGTCCACTCTATAGCTGTGTGTTTCTGTCTGGCGTGTGTGAGCTCCAACCGTGACCCCACGCCTACCTCGGCACCTCCTTTTATCTTTCTCACAGTACTCTTGCGTGCGGGTTTAGTGTAACCGAACTCTGTGAAAACGAGTGAGCAGAAGTGGCTGTGGGGAGGGAGCACCGGGACACTTCGTCTCTTTGGTGATAACTGTCAAAAAGCATCGATCATCTTAGATTATTGTTTCTGCAGTTTAATCCTTCTGCCCTGGGCGAGACTTATAGATAATACATCGCACCTACCGTGTGAAATCGGTTGCTCTGGCTAACCTCGGAATGGGAGTTATAGATATAGCATTTTCGGTGTGAAGTTAGGTGTTCTCGTCACGTGGTCGGCAGTCTTTGTTCACAAGCATCGCGTTTAATAATGGCAGAGCAAACGTTAGAAAGCAATTGTGGAGTCGTGCAAACCTGTCCGCGATTTTTGTTTGCTCTACGAGTGTGATAGTTTTAAGTGAACACAACTCGGAAATGATGAAGGCCGAGGGAAATAAATTGGTGGCGTCATTATTTCATCGTGTGCTGTTTAATATTTGCTAGCGACGGGAAATTTCAGACTTTAGTTTAACCGTATTTCCGGTTGTTACTATGCCGTTTTATATATATAATTACCTAGCGTTAGTGTCAAATAATCTCCGCAAACTGTGTTTAGTGGAACAGAAACTGCATGTTCCTGCCGATTTCAATGATTGACGTTGTTTTACAAAAGCGTAAAAGCCTGGGGCCCGTTGTCAGAAACAATATTGATCTTAACATTAGTTTTAACATTAACTTTTTCTCTTAAATTGACAGAAATGCTGCGAAGTTATGAGAATGAAAAATTGTCGCAGATTTCCTCATAACAATATGAAACAAAGTGATGTCGACGGTCTAGGAGAAATTGTTAAGACTAATGTTTAGACTAATTTTGTTTCTGACAACGGGCCCCTGGCATTTAATTAAATTCACATAGTGCTTTGTGATCAAATAAGCAAGTAATATCATAACTAATAATCAAACCGAACTGGAAGTTGCATCTGCGTGCGTGCGTGCGTGCGTGTACATGGCGTGCGTGCGTGCGTGTACATGGCGTGTGTGCACGCACACGTTGAATTCCCTATGATTGCAGTTCTTCTGGTTTGTGCTTTATAATGACGATATATTGTTAGCCCGCGAGTTTTTCACGACTGCGAATAAACCCCGGACAGAGGGAAAAAACCCACCTATTCAGGCACCTGAATGGCATAGAAAATATCTGAAAGCCCGTGTCATTCACCTCACCATGGATCATAGTTCGTGTGCCACTGTCTGCGGATCGCTATCCCCTCACGGCTGGCATCTAAAAACCGACTCCTGTGGAGATACCCGTCCAGAGGTCAACTCTAAAGAGGTTGCTCTTTGTAAACATCTCTATTCGAAGCAGCTTCTGTGAGTTCGTCGGAGCGATAAGACGCCGTTATCCCCACAAAAGACAGACAACTCGCTACCGACGGCTCCCCGCGAATGGGGAAAACATTATCGGTCAAACTGGTTTCCCCTCTCGTGGATTTCTCCGTGGGTTGAGCGGCAGTTCCATCTTGCCTGCCCGTACTTTGCCGGCGCCTTGGCACGAGTGCCGGCACGTCGGTACTTTACCGCTTACTTTTACAGGCGCGATATTGTGTGTTAGTTTTGTTGATATTTATTGTGTGTTAGTTGATCATATTATGATGCGTGCGAATGAGTGAATATGAAGCAAAGACACGGTGATATTGTGTGTTAGTTGATCATATTATGATGCGAGCGAATGAGTGAATACTCAGTGGAGCAAATACACAGCAATGACTAGTTTGGGGTTGATCCAGAGTTATAATCGTGCAGATCTGATACCGTGTGCATTGTTCCACGCTAGATGGCTATTGTAGGATAGGTGTTAAGGTGAAGTCTCAGGTGAGTGTGTTGTGTTGAAATATCGCTTGTTAATTTTGTGTAAAGAAGAGCAAAAGAAAAAGTGAGTGCCTGAGTGTCGAGGCTGTGCTCCTACCATCTTAGGGAGGAGGAAGTGGAGTAGAGGTAGGCGGAGGGTAGGAGGAGGAGGAGGCGAGGTAGGAGGAAGGAGGAGACGAGGTAGGTAGAGAGAGGCAGTAGGAGAGGAGGAGATGGTAGGAGGAGGAGGAGACGAGTAGGAAGGAGGAGGAGGGGTAGGAGGAAGAAGAGAGGAGAGGCAAGGTAAGGAGGAGGAGGAGGAGAGGTAGGAAGGAAGAAGGAGGGTAGGAGGAGGAGAGCGGAGGAGGAGAGAACGAGGTAGGAGCAAGGAGGGCAGGAGGAGGTGGACGAGGAGACGAGGTAGGTAGGAGGAGGAGAGGTAGGAGTGAGGAGGAAGAGGAAAGGAGACGAGGTAGGAGGAGGAAGTAGAGGAAGAGGAGGCGAGGTAGGAGAGAAGGTGAGGCTAGGGAAGGAGAGGCGAGGATAGGTAGAGGAGGAGGGAGGCGGAGGAGAGCGAGGTAGAGGAGGAGGAAGGAGGAGAGGTAGGAGGGGGAGGAGGCGAAGCTAGGAGGAGGCGGGAGAGGAGATGTATGAGGAGTAAGATAGAGAGGTAGGAGGAGTAGGAGGAGAAGGTAGGAGGAGGAGAGGAGGCGGAGGAGGAGAGGTAGGAGAGGAAGAGGCGAAGGTACGGAGAGGGAAGGAGGAGGAGAGGATGGAAAGGAGGAGGAGGATAGGTAAGGAGGAGGAGTCGAGTAGGACGAGTGAGGTAGGAAGGAGGAAGGAGGATGACGTAGGAGCAGGAGGAGACGTAGGTAGGAGGAGGAGGGTAGGAGGAGAGAGGAACGTAAGGGAGAGAAGAAGAAATGCAGTGGAAGGTAGAAATAGGAGGTAGAATAGATAGGACGTAGGACTGAGGAGGAGGAGGAGGAGGAGGAGGAGAGGAGAAAAGGCAGTTAAGGAGGAGAGGATAGTGAGTAAGAGTAAACTTCCGCTGTACATGCGTACGGGTTGCGGCTGTGGGCGTGCTTGCTGACGTCTGTGGTTTTGTTTCGTGTGCATTGGGCAGCATCCGTTCCGGGCGTGATCATCGACTTGGGTGCTTAGACAGCTGTGATTTTGCTGCGGGATGTCGTACGTTGACAATGTCTTCTATGTTGTCTGTTGCTGCCAAGAGCAGTGCCGTTCCTGGGCGGTTTATCAAACCGATGAGTCAGGGCAGCTGGCGGGAGGGAGCACGACGTGAGCGGCGGCGACGAGCGCGTAGAGTAGCGACGCAATCAGCTCGTGAAGAGCACCCGCGATATCAGGAGAACTACAGCCGAGTCAGGTCGCTGAGTAGTCAGCGCGAGACACGCGAGACGTGAGGCACGAGGCGTGTGAGACTGTGTGGCGCGAGGCGTGTGAGACTGTGGAGCTGACGACCGTTGCGGTGAGAGGACTGTTGTGTGAGATCTTGGGCGTAATGTTCACTGTGATGGAGATGCGTAGGAAGTAATGTCACTGTGGTTAGATCCGTTAGGAAGTAATGTACTGTGGTGAGATCGTAGAATAAGTTCACTGGTGACGATCGTAGGAAGTAATGTTCACTATGTGATTAGATCGTAGGAAGTAATGTTCACTGGCGGTGAGAATCGTAGGACAGTAATGTTCACTGTCGATTAGATCGTAGAAGTAATGTCACTAGCGGTGAGCTTCGTAAGAAGTAATTCACTGTGATTAGATCGTAGGCAAGTTAATGGTTGCACTGTGGTGAGATCGTAGGAAGTAATGTTTACCTGTGGTGAGATCCGTAGGAAGTAATGTGTCAGCTGTGGTGAATCGTAGAAGGTAATGTTCACGGATGTGGTGAGATTTCGTAGAGAAAGTACAATGTTCACTGTGGTGAGTCGTAGGAATATAATGTTCACTGTGATGAAGATCCGTAGAAGTACATCGTTCACAGTGTGATGAGGATCGTAGGAAGGTAATGTTCACTGTGGTAGAATCGTAGGAAGTAATGTTCACTGTGGTGAACTCGTAGGAAGTAAATGTTCACATGGTGTGAGATCGTAGGAAGTAAATGTTTCACTGTGAGTGAGATTCGTAAAGGAGTAATGTCACTTGTGTTAGATCATGGACAGTAAATGTTCCTGTGTGTGAGATCGTGGAAAGTAATTGTTCACTGTGGTGAGAATCGTAGGAAGTAATGTTCACTGTGTGAGATCGTAGAAGTAATGTTAACGTGGTGGAGATGTAGGAAGTAATGCTTCACTGTGGTGAGATCGTAGAAGTAATGTTCACTGTGTGAGATCGTAGAAGATAATGTTCACAACTCGTGGTGTAATCGTAGGAAAGTAAATGTTCACTGTGGTGAGATCTGTAGGAAAGTAAGTTCACGTGGATCGAGATCGTAGGAAGTAATGTTCCACTTGTGTAGATGCGTAGAAGCTAATGTTTCACTGTGGTGAGATCGTAGGAAGTTAATGTTCCTGTGAAATGAGATCGTAGGAAGTAATGTCACTGTGTATTAGATCGTAGGAAGTATTTGTTCACTGTGGTGAGATCGTAGGAAGTAATGTTCCTGTAGGTGAGATTGTAGGGAAGTAATGTTCACTGTCGTGAGATTCGTGGGCGGTAATCGTTCACTGTGGTGAATCGGTAAGGAAGTAATGTTCACTGTGACGAGATCGTAGGAAGTATCTGTTCGAAACTGTGGTTAGATCGTAGAAGTAATTGTTCAGCTGTGGTGAGATCG